GTTACTCTGTTTGAAAGGTAAGCTAAGAAGGGGAAAGTAAAATTAATGCCTCCCCAGAGGTAAAACCTGATGATATGTGTTCTGTATGATCTGGGGCACATACTTGGGCAGTGACACAGGACAGGCAGAAGCCAGCAGTACTGAAGAGACTTTGTGGTGACAGACAAGATGACACTCCCCTGAAGTAAATTTGGAAATAAGGACAAAAAGATGTAGGAAACTCTAGAAGTTGTGCAAATTCTGTTGTTCTTGAAGCAAGCCTCTTTCCCTTTTTTTTTTCTTCATTTCTTTCAGTCACCCAAGACCATTCACCTTGGCAGCACAGCCATTACTTGGAYATTTCTATATCTCCTCACATGAGATGTCTGCTGTTGCAAATTCCACAAATCAAGCCTATTCCTCAAGGTCTGTGTGGAGGCTCCAGGCCCACCCAYGTGGTTTGGTTCTTGCACCAAACCCAGCTTGGTAGGTGGTTTCCTCTTTCTTCTTTTATTCAAGTAAACCCTTTGCCAGAGGTCAATCACTGCCTCTTTAGACATCCCTACAATTTTTTGTTCTTGTACTAGTTCCTAGGACAACTGCACACTCCACTTAAAGCTTCCAGATTTAACTATATTTGCGTAGTGCATTGGGCTTGCTAGGGAATTTTTCGCACCTTGGCAGAGGCCTGSGGACTGAGTTACACCATGGCCACGCTGAAAGGACTCTGACACCACTTCCTAGAAACTTGTCTTCTTCTGGTTTGAGATGCTGTTACTAGTGCCAGCGGACGTCTATGGAGCTGTGGGAATACCCAGAACAGCAGCAGCAAGGAAGGCTGTGGCCAGACTACAGGGCTCCAGCATCCACAGCAGATTACTTTGAAAGAAAAGGAGGTGAGAGAAGGAGTGATGAAACCAGCATATGAGGGTGGACAGCTGAGGGAAAAGTGAGACTAGGGCTCTGCATTAGCTAAAACCCTGTCTGGTGCCTACAAGATGGGCATGCAACCCTTTGGGTACTTTTGATGGTATCAGCGTGTGACACAGACTTGCAGACTTGATGCGGCCTCACTCTGAGCCCCCTTCCTACCTCTGCAAGGGCTTTTCTTTCCTGGCCGGGTATTGCATGCATACATGTGCCTGTGTACGTGTACATACGTGCCTGCCTGTCTCCCTGTGTGGAGGAGCAGTGCCGGGATCTCCCAGCCAAGCGGTGAGCTTCAGTGAAAGGAAGTGCCTGCACCTCCCGCCTGAGGCAAAAGAATTTCTAAAAACTAATTTCCCAAAACGAGTGCCAAAAAGTTAATGAGCTTTGCTTCCCCACCACCCCCGCCAAGACATCGCCCCCTTCTTGGGTTGCTCACATGGCAATTGGGCTCACCACAGCTGTGCTTCTCTGCACGTGGCCTTCCCCTGTGAGGTGCCATTTGCCAGAGTCCTCGGTGCTAGGCAGGGAGAAAACGTGAGAAACGGCTTTGGGATCATCAGAAACTGTACTGCCCTGGGC